TCAACTTAACTCACAATTCTGAGAGGCTCCAAATGCCCCCCGGTGATGCTTTTATAATTAAGAGAAGAGGGTCAGCTCCCCAGGCTTCTCACACCTCAGGGCTCTGGCTGTGGTTACAGGGAGAGTTAAAAGACAAATTTATAAATGAGAAAGAAGGTTTACACAAGAATTTCCTGGAATGAGGGCGCCTGGGTGGCTCAGTCGTTAAGCGTCTGCCTTTGGTTTGGGTCATGATCCCAGGATCCTGGGGTCGAGCCCCGCATCGGGCTCCCTGCGCCCAGCGGGAGGCCTGCTTCTCTGTCTTTCACTCCCCCTGCCTGTGTTCCCTCTCTCGCTGTGTCTCTCCCTGTCAAATAAATAAATAAAATCTTTAAAAAAAAAAAAAAAAAGAAAGAAAGAAAGGGAGGCATGGGGGCGCCTGGGTGGCTCAGATGGTTAAGCGTCTGCCTTCAGCTCAGGTCATGATCCCGGGGTCCTGGGATCGAGCCCCGCATCGGGCTCCCTGCTCCGCAGGAAGCCTGCTTCTCCCTCTCCCACTCTCCCTGCTTGTGTTCCCTCTCTTGCGGTCTCTCTCTGTTAACAAATAAATAAAATCTTTAAAAAAAAAAGAATTTCCTGGAATGAAACAAGATCCTTTGCAGGTCATGGGAAATGGCTTACCATTGCTTAGGGGGTTTTGATTAGTGTATCAAGATAAAACGCAAAAGAAGCCAATATAAGAGGAAGACTGTGGACATTTACAGCTTCCATTCATTAAGGTCTTACATGCCACAGTCCCCTTTTCTCTATTATCTAATTTAAACCTCATAAAAAGGCACAATTTTACAGGTGAGCCAACATGCATAGACTTCTAGAAGGTAAAGTAACTTATCTAAGGTAAAACTAAGTGGCAAACCAGAATTCAAATCTAGGTGTTTCTTTTCAAAGCTTATGTTCTTAGCCACTGAAAATACTGCCACATAAAGCTGTTCCCTGTGTATTCATTAAATGGCTTATAGACATTCTCTACATCAGAGTCAGCAAACTACAGCCAGTGCTATAACCCCAGCTTTTTGCCTGCTTTTTTATGGCCTGAGAGCTAAGAGTGAATATTCCATTTTTAAGCAGTTGGGGGAAAAAAGAAATCCACAAGAGGAATAATACTATGTGACACGTGAAAATTATCTGAAATTGAAATTTCAGAGCCCATAAATAAAGCTCTACAGGAACCTAACCATGCTCATTCATTTACGTATTGCCTATGGTTGCTTTCAGGCCACTTGGGCAGAGATGAACAGTATGGCCTGCAAAGCCTAAGATACCATTTGACACCTTACTAGAGAAGCTTGCCAACTCTTGCTGTATGTACATCATGGGTGATAAAAGCCAATTACAAGTTGGAAGACTCAGTTGCCAGGGATTACAGAGATGTGGGAAGGGTTTAGGGATAATCTAAAATTTATCAAATATTCTTACTTTCCAGGCACTACATATTTTTTTAAGATTTTATTTATTTGAGAGAGACAGAGAGAGAGAGAGCAATTGAGAGCACAAGCAGGGAAGAGAGGGAGAAGCAGGTTTCCTGTGAGCAGGGAACCCGATGCGGGGCTCAATCCCAGGACTCTGAGATCACGACCTGAGCGGAAGGCAGGTTAATTGACTGAGCCACCCAGGTGCCCCCCAGGCATTACATTTCTTTACATATATTATCTCACCTAATCTTCACTAGAGCTCTGTAAGGCATTATCACTCCAAATTTTCAGATGAAGAAACTGAGGCTGAGGGAGGCTATGGATGTCTCTGAAAGTCATACGAATTTCTGCTGTTTCCCACATAGGGGTATGTTGCCATCCTGGATGCCAGGCCAATCTTCCTGACTCCAATACCCAAGCACTTTTTTTTTTAACAACAAAGTATAATGCTCTGAATATAAGGTCAACAAGTTCATGGATATAGAAGAAAATATGATAGAAGCACCTGTAAATATATCTAACTACTCTAAGAATATCTATGATTAATCCTAAGGCTATGTGGTATGATTAAGTGTGTTCAACATCAATATCTAAATGTTTCATAAGTTATAATTTCATTGACTTAAATTTCTAATAGCCTATATAAGTACTGAATGAGAAGCTAGAATCACTCACTTTTTTTTTTTTTTTTTTTTAGAATCACTCACTTTTAAATTCCTAAATGATGCCAATGAAACTCCTTCACAACTTAATGGTATTTTTAGGTTGGGGTTCTAGAGAAATCTGTTATTTATACCTTCAAAAATCTTACTATCCCTTAGCCATACAATTTTTGTGTGTGTCTGCTATTCCGTATAGGATCTCTTTTCATCATATATTCTAAATGGTTGTGCTTATCTATACACGCAAATGTTATTTCATGTTGACATATGTCTTATACATTTACTTGACCAATTTACTCAATTTAAAAATAAATATAAAAATTAAAATGACTATATATTGTTATAGCATGTACAGAGATCTGTAGGCTGAAAATTATGCTAAGTGAATGGACTATTTAATAATATTAACATTTCCAATCCATGAACATGGGATATCTTTCCATTTATTTGTATTGTCTTTAATTTCTTTCACCAGTGTCTTAAAGTTTTTAGTGTATAGATCTTACTTCCTTGGTTAAATTTATTCCTAAGTAATTTATTGTTTTTGATACTATGTAAATGGAATTGTTTTCTTTCTTTTCCAGATAATTCACTGTATATGAGACCATCTTATTTGACCTATTGATCTGATTTACGAGGTTCATTAATCCATAGTATTAAATTACTCCTGAATTCTCATTGTACTACTTTGAAAATAGGGCAAACTGCAGTCATGCAAACTATTTATCACAATCAATTTTCATTTTTAAGAGAGCGAACATGTGTGTACATGAGTGGAGGGGGCGGGGCAGAGGGAGAGGGAGACAGAGAATCCTAAGCAGGCTCTAGCCCAGCATGGAGCTGAGATCACAACCTAAGCTGAGGTCAAGAGTCAGATGCTCAACCAAATGAGCCAGCCAGGTACCCCTATCAACACAAATTCTAAAATAAAATGTACATAAATATGACCACTGAGCAAAAAATTAAAGTGGGCAGTGTGCTCACTTTCATAAAGTGACAAAAAATAAAACTAAAGAAAACCAAAATCTGAATACCTAACATGTATATGAAAGTTGATCCTGGTCCTTCTTCAAAGACATGTAAGTTAAAAAAAAAAAAATAAAGACATGAAAAGAAGAAAAGGAGAAAGGAAAGGAGAGAGGGAGGAAGGAAGGAAATTTCCATTACTTTCTTATTTTGCCTTAAATACTTTTGTAAAAGAAGTTTTCATTTAATCAAATCTACAAGACCTTGCAATAACCAGAAGATTTGTGCTCTACCTTGCATTATCCTACTAGCCGTAGACAAATTTTTCTCAGGCCATAAATTAGCCTTGGAGAACATTTTATTTTTTCTGGTCCTTTATGTTCAAGTGTTCTTCCTAATTTCATGTAGTTTTCTGTGTGCTACATATTTTCCTAAATTTACTGACCTATATGCACATCCAAGTGTGATGGCAGTAATGGAAAACAATATGAATATGAGATGAATTTCATACATGAAGGACTATAGAAAAACTCAAGAAAGCATGGAAACTGAGACCAAAGCATTGGACATGCTCAAAATTTGTTTCATTGTTGTCCCTATGAGGTATTGGAACTCATCTGCCATCTACTGTTCTTCAGAATAATAAATGAAAAGCAGCTTTTACTTCTAAAACAAGCAGATCTCCCCATCTGCTTATGGTGATGGTGGGGGAGCTAGGGTGATGAAAGCAGGTGACTACAGTTCAGATGGGCTCACCTCAGCTAGGGCAGCAGAGTCATTCCAGGGAAATGGAGTCATTTGTACCTAGGCATCAGCCCCATTCAAAAATTCACTGATAGTTTAAAGCTCACACCAAATGTGAAAAAATTCAACTTCTACATGATTTTCTGAAAAACAAAGTGATTCACCTATGCTTTCATCATTTGCAAGGGCCCAGCATTTTCGGGTGTAAAACCAAGAGCTGTCTGGTTTAAGTAACTCATCAGCACGAAGTGTATCCCCTTCTTCAGTGTAACATCTTTGTTGCTCCTCAGCCCAAATGAAGCAGCTTTCTCCAATGAGTAGAGTCAAGAAAAACATCTCTACCCCCAAACATCCAAGAGGACAGTGTAACTTTCTTCTCCTCTAGTTCTCTTTAGCAGTGAGGAAAGCAAGCTTCTTAAAGCACCCCAACTCTGGCCTTGGGACTTCTGTCCCTGGGGGCAGCTGAGCACAGTTGGTAACACTCTCCTCTGCTTTAAAAAACATGAGAAACTTCACATGGTGGAGTTTTCTTCCAGGGCCAAGGTCAAGAGGTAGGAAGCCAAGAGTCACAGCAAAACAAGTGGAAATCAATGAAACCTATTAGTGAGATGACTAAAATAGAGTATGTGAGGTCAGGAGGTACAAAGGAAAGAAGCCAATGAGAGCGCTAATCAGTCCACCTAGGAACACACCCATCAAGGGCCTCAGTCTTGAATTTCAAAGACCCACCTCTTTCCTCCTAGTAGGAAGGCAAACAATTCCCATGAAATCAGATCTGAAGGCCACAGAAAATCCCAAAGCCCACCTGGAAGTATACAAAGTAAGTACCGTATTTACTACATTCATTCAATTTGGTATATGCAGTTATCAACAACCTTCACTTAGACCAGGGCACTCTTAGTAATCTTAAGTGAAACATTTTCAGAGGGAAGTGACAAGTAGACATAAATGTACTCCTTCAGTGACTTTATAGCAGCGACCGTGCCAGGACAAGACACGAGTGCCTGGAGGCCCACGGGCAGCCAGGCTTTCAGCTTACACACTTCGTGTCTGTCCCATGGGCTAGACTCCGGTGACCACTGGCCGGATGCTACCTCTGCATATGCTAGGGGAGTCGGGACAATGAAGCCAGCTTGCCAGCAAACCCCCTCTGCACCCTACGCCCTGCCCAACTTACCTTCACCAGAAAAAAGGACACACCATACGTCCGGAGGGATCGGGCGAGTTTGACATACTTGACCTTGGCTTCTATTTCGCTCATCTCTCCACAGTTCTTATGCTCCTACAAGTGACAGCAGCAAGGGCTGGTTATTGCAGCTCTGTCAGCACGTGGACTCGGTAGAGGTGGTTACAATGTATGGCACATAAAGTTGCTATGAATGATCAATCACTGACGTTTGTGTTGGAGACCCCTCTGGGACCCACGTACCAGCTGACCGAGGATCAGAGCACAGAGAAAGCTCGAATGCAGGGCTTCTTAATGGCAACTGGAGTCCAAACTCCCTACAGATTTTACACCTACAGGCAACAATTCATGCCATGTAGCATGGCAGACCAGGGTCCAAAGTGTAATTGACTTTTTGGAAGAACTCCATATCCCCAAAGGTTCAGAACCAATGAGTAGACTCATTTAGTAGAGCTAAAATAATGTTCTCCAGGAGAGGTATCATTCTAACATCCACCCAAAATATATGGTTTTCCAAAGAGCAGAATATATAGATGCCTGCACATCAGAGTGCTTGGAAACAAGACTGTGTGCATTTTATACAGACAAAATTTCTACTTCAACTTATATTTACATTTCAATACCAAAGAAGACTTTAATATTTTGGATTCACTGGAGTGATTGTTTTATGGCAAGTTGATGATAGGGCTTTTCTTACTGTCTGCCTGGAAGAGAAAACTCTCTGACGTTTATGGAAAAAACCCTGAATTTTAAAAAGACACCAGTTTCCAAATTCTAAGCTTCAAAAAACAAGTATCAGGACAAAGAAGCTACTTGTAGCTGCTTCTTCAGTGCATTTTAAGAGCAAATCACCTTGTTTCGACACTATCAAGATAATGCCTTTGAAATTAAATGTAGGCACATTTTTCTCAGAAGGACTAAGTAACCTTTAGCAGGAAGGTATGGATTAAGATAATAAATCTGCCCAAAGTAGAACTGTCAGCTTCTTTACTCTTGAGTCACTAATCATTTATTATATAAGCAGAGTACATGTATGGGGTACTAAACTATCATGTGCAGAGGCCCCTCTCATGCTAATAGATGAGGCTAGGGAGTGAGGAGAATAATAAAGTTCTGTACATTTCCAATACCTGAAATATCCTCTTTTCAGCTCCTCTCTGCTTGATGTATTCTTTGGGCAGGAATTCCTTTAGACTGAGAGAGAGAACAACAAAAAAATAATAATAAGCCATTTATTGTATGATGAGAAGGAAAAAAAAAAGAGACTTTTTTTGTACAACTCCATGAAGTCACTAACTTGCCAGTATTTTATGGGACAATTAAGAACAGACTGCCACATCTCATAATACACTTAAATAGGACACAAATATAAAACCAGTCTGATACAAAGGATCAAACTAACAAAGTTAAAAAAGAAAGAATTTCCATGATACACTGTAAAGTGCCAGAGCAAAGGGTGCAAGAGTGTAGAGTATGCTATCCTTTGTGATAAAGGGAGGAGAGTGCTTTTCATTTTATATGGTTAATACATATTTTTAGGGGTGCCAGGGTGGCTCAGTCAGTTAAGCATCTGATTCTTGGTTTCGGCTCAGGTCATGATCTCATGGGTCGAGATTCAGCCCCACATTGGGCTCCGTGCTCAGTGGGGAGTCTGCTTGAAGACTCTCTCTCCCTCTGCCCACCCCCCTACTCTTACACGTGCGCTGCCTCTCTCTAAAATACATAAGTAAATCTTTAAAAAATATATGTATTTTTAAAACAATACAAACATACATCTAGTACTAATTAAAATGATTCTCTATGGGAAGAAGGGAAACGGCAAAGGGAACAAGGATGGAAATGAAACCTCTGGATAGCCCTTGTATTATAGTTACCACTTTAGAACCACTTGAAATTACAAAGAGGGGAAAAATTCAACACCTAAAAATCTAAAGCAAACTGAAATAAATGAACTTAACAGTGTATCAAGTTGATAGCATAACCACAGGAAGAAAAGTGATTTCAAATAACTTTGAAAAACCATCTTTTGACTATACATCCCTAGTGAGATATGTTTTAAAGATAAAGGGAACCATGGAAGACATATTAAATATTGATAACATTATTTTAAAGCTATACCCTCTCCCCTCTAAACACATAAATACACACACACTATAAAATTACATTATTACATTATATGGAAGTAGGATGTCATATATAATTAGGATAAAGTAAATGAGTAATTATGTTAGGTGTTAGAAACCAAACTTAAATAAAGCAAAAAAAAAAAAGTTAAATGAAAACCCTGTAGTCTTTCATTTGGAGATACTGATCTAAATGTCTGATTCCTTCATTTTCTGGAAAACAGTTTTTAGTGTGTCCACTGAGGAAGCTAAGGGCAAGGACCATCTGGTGGCACTGCCAGGGCCTCGGTCAGGTAGCCTCCAAATACTATTTCCCACTAAAAGGAATCAGGGATCCCTGGAGAAGTGACTGATTCTAACTCTGGGGCAGGAAATGTATTAAATGTTCTTGGGGCTTCTTATGCCCGAGATCAAAGAATCTATCAAAATGACATTGGACTGACATCAAGGGGTAACCATTGGCCAAAATCAGGATGATTTTTAAAACCTTACACAAAGGAAAAGATCGAACAATATAAGAACCCACCATCCATTCACGGCCATTCCTGACTCATCTACTCCTTCACCTCATCGCCTGCACTGGATTATTTCCGAGCAAATCCTACAGATCATATAGTTAATTTCATGTGATGGGGCAATTAGAGTGCCGAAGAATGATGACCACAATGGGTAAAAACACAGATATATAAAAATCCCATAAAGATCCTTTAAAATAATCATTGGTCACCTTAACAGGTAGCTAGGGCACCAACTCCTACTGAAAACTGATTAACACAAAGTAACAAAGCTAACAAACACAAAAGGAATAAAAGGAGTCCAAAATCATCATTTTATAGCTCCTAATGAAATAAATGATAGACCAAAACATGCCGGATGGCTGCTAAAACCAACAAGTGACAAGTTAATGGAGAACTCTATAGTAGATAGTTCAGTCTGATTCAAACACACTTAATCAATTTTATTATTAATAAAAGTGGGATAACTAGACAACACATGCCTAACTGATGCAACAGGAAGTATACAGCACTATCCAGGAAGTATTTTTGGCAATAAAGAATAATATATAATTTAAACTGAATTTAACTAAGATCCTAGATCTAAATATTAGTTTACAAAAAGAGAGATGGAAGACACCACCAGGATATAATCAGCCCAATGCCAACTAGGGCAATTCTATAAAAATAACCCAGGTGCCTCACAAATAAATAAATGGCTTGGTGGTAGAGGTGAAAAAGAGGACACAGTAATAGATTAATAGAGTTTCAAAAAACATATTTACTACCAAGCTACAGTAATAAAGACAGTGGAGAATGGATATAACAATAGGTCAGTGTAATAGAATCAAGAGTCTAGAAATTAACCTTTACAGCCAGTTGATTTTCAGCAAAGGGAATGGGTTTTCAATGGGAAAAGAATAGTCTTTTTAACAAATGGTGCTGAGACAATTGGATATCCATGAACAAAACAGTGAAGTCGGATCCTCTACTTCACACTGAACGCAAAAATTAACTCAAAATGGATCAGAGACCCACATTTAAGCTAAAACCGTAAAACTTTTAGAATATAGGAATAAACCTTTATGGCCTTGAGTCAGGGCAACACTTAAGATTCAATACCAAAAGCACACACAGCAAAAGAAAAAATAAGTAGGACTACATCAGAATAAAAAATTTGGAACTCCAAGTGACATGACCAAGAAAATGAATAAGCAGCCCAAAGAATGGGAGAAAATACTCCAAATTAAGTATTTAATAAGGGACTTGTATTCTGAATATGTAAGAACTTTCACAACAATGAAAAGACAACCCAGTTAAAAAATGGGGAGGGGATCTGTAAAAACATTTTTCCGAAGAAGATACGCAATTGGCCAAAAGCATATGAATATATGCCTAACTTCAGTAGCCATCAGGGAAATAAAAAAATATTATAATACGATACCATACACCCGCTAAGGTGGCTACAATAAAAAAAGATGAACAAGTGTTTGCAAGGATATGGAGAAATTGGAGTCATCTCACATTGCTGGTGGGAATATAAAATGGTATAGCTGCTGTTGAAAATAACATGATAGTTCCTCAAAGCATTAAACAGCAATTTTACTCCTAAGTATGTAACCAGGAAAAATGAAAACATGTCCAAACATTTGTACATGAATGTTCATAGTAGTATTCCTAATAGCCAAAAGTTAGAGACAACTTAAATGTCCAATCAACTGATGAATGGATAAGTCAAATGTAGTTGATCCATACAATGGAACATTACTCGGCAATAAAAAGGAATGACATAGGATATAAACTCCAATATGGAAACACTGTGCTGAGTGAAAGAAGCCCATCAAAAGAGACCACAAATTGTATGATTCCATTTATAGGAAATGTCCACAATAGGCAAATCTATAGAGATAGCTAGGATCAGTGCTTGCGTAGGCTAGGGATGGGCGTGGGGTTACTGAGGAGTGGCTGCTAATAAACACAAGCTTGTATCAGGAGGGATAAAAGTGCTCTAAAATCAGATTGTGTGATGGTTGCACAATCTTGTGAATACACCAAAAAACACTGGGCGCCTGGGTGGCTCAGTCGTTAAGCGTCTGCCTTCGGCTCAGGTCATGATCCCGGGGTCCTGGGATCGAGTCCCACATCGGTCTCCCTGCTCGGCGGGAAGCCTGCTTCTCCCTCTCCCACTCCCCCTGCTTGTGCTCCTGCTCTCGCTGTCTCTCTCTCTGTCAAATAAATAAATAAAATCTTAAAAAAAAAAAAATTAAAACAAAACAAAACAAAAAACAAAACACTGAATTGTACATATGGCATGTGCACTGCATCTCAATAAAACTTTTCTTAAAAAAAACCTTATGAACCAAATAAAATTTGTAGGCCTTGCTTAAATCCTGATATTAAGTAAAAACAATATTTTTGAGACACTGGGGGGAAATTTAACAAAGACTGGGTATTAGACAGCATTACAAGAATTGTTAATTTTATTAGGTGTTAGGATAGATTTGCGGTTGTACAGGTTTAGAAATTTTTTTCTAAATTTTTATTTGTCAGAGAACCATACTGAAGTACTTACAGATGAAATACGCTGCCTGGAATTTGCTTTAAAATACTCCAGCAAAAAAAGTAGAGGGGAGGTAGGGTGAGGCCAGATTCTGGCTACATTAACACTTGAATAATGAAATCCGATCAGCCTGCAAACTACTTCCATCGACAAAAGTTGTAAGCACATTTTCTGGAATTTCAGGGATCTAGTAGCAGAACAATCTGGATTTCTCAGGAGGGTCAGGAGGGGTAGAGTCTAAGAAATATCTAAGCAGCGGCCCATTGCATGTTATGACTATCATTAAGCAACCTCACGGACAAAAACGTGATTGGTCACTGGAAGGCACAAAGGTCCCAAAAAAGAGCTGAGTCACAGAGAAGTTAGTTAGCTGAGGTCACAGGACTTGTTAGTGCCAGGAGCCTCCGACCTCCCCGAGCAAGAGGAGACCCACCTGACAACACAGGTGTTTCAGGTTCTCCCCCAAAGCATGCTGAAAACCATAGCGAGAAAATGTGTCACGAGTGGGCCAGTGGACAGCAGTCGCTGTGCTACCTACCAACCAAGGGGGACCTGGCTAAGGTAACCAAAAGCATCCAAAACGAGACCCATGCCAAACCCCTCGCAACAACACTGTTACTGGAAGAATTCCAGAGAGCAGGGTCCAGAGGCCAGCCAGGGGCAGATGTTAGGCATGAATGGCAAGAACGCTGTGTGTGGCAACAAGCCGCCTTCTATCCCAACTAACCCTCCCGTTCTTCAGGAGGTACGGAAAACAACTTCCCGAAGCTTGCACTAGAGGTGTTACCCTTGATGTTACAGGGGTGGATTTGGGAGTTTGTCATCAGGTAGTTTAAAACACAAAGTGTGTGTGTGCCCATGCGTGGCCTGTGTGTTTCCCCAGTAAATCAGCCAAGTGCCCAGTGTCAGCATGAGGCTGGAAGGAGCAGGGAGCCCGTCATCACTGCCTGCCAGGCAGCAAGAAGCTCCAGCTCAGTTGTTTTGATTACCAACCCTGAGCTTGGAAGGCTCCTAAGC